AGCAAGGGTGGCAGGCCAGACACAGGGCCAGAGCAGTGCTTCGGGTGAAGGTTGGGGGAGAAGAGGATTTAATCCCTGTCTCCCCTCTCTCCTACTGGCACGGGGACCCGAGCCAGGGTCTGCCTGGCTTTCCCCCTGCCCCCACCCCCCACTAGCTGCTTGTGCAGTGTGGGGCATGGCCAGAACTGGCCATGCGAGCAGCCAGCAATGGGGAAAACTGGACAATCCTGGCTGGGGTCCCCATGCTGGTGAGAGAGGGGAAACAGGGGAATTTAATCCTCTTCCCTTTCTCCCCTTTACCTGAGGCATTGCCTGAGCTGGCTCCGGCCATGACCCCCTACCGCTAGAGCGGCGAGCCTGGGGGAAAGCTGGGCAAACCCAGGTTGGGGTCCCGTGCAGGTAAGAGAGAGGAGGCAGGGGGGCAAGACCTGTGTTTCTTTTTTAAGAGGCCTTTCTGCTAGAGAAGCTGTCCCACAAGATTAGGTGATTTCTCTTTCTCAACAGAGCCTATGGCCAGAAATAGTTGCTGTGACCCACAAGCTTGACTTCCTAGATGTCTTGGTGCATACAGCATACTTCTCTTAGTTTCTGTGTGCAGCGTTTGCTTTAATGCTGTGCAGTTGTTTGACTCGACACTTTTTCTGTCCCACCTAGGCACCAACGACCTTGCTGGCAGGACCTGCGTCCTATCTAAGCATCAGCTGGAATTGTTATCTTCTCAGCCTGACTGTTTCAGCATCAGTTTGGATTTACATTTCATTTTTCACCTGTGTATCAGGAGATACTTGTTGCATCCTCTTCTGGTAAGGTTATCTTAAGGTAACTCTTGTCCTTCCAAATTGTTTTTAACATATAGTGTTGATTGTGTATTGATTCGGACACACAGATCTAACTGGAGTGGGCTGAATGCTTGAGGTGGAAGTGTTCAATGCTGGGACCTGCTGTCTCTGTGGGTGGTGCCAGGGCATTATACGTGAGGAAATAGGCTTTGTTTATTCAGTCTGGTGTGTGGCTCTTGGGTTACCAGCAAGCTGGGAGTTCTCTCCCTTGACTGACCCTAGGTTGTAAGCTACTGGGCTAGTACCTAGTCATCTCTTGAGACTCTTTGCCCTGATGTGCTCCAGACAGACTACCTGTACAGGGGACATGGGTAAAGACCTTTTCAGTGATTGCTCTGAGGTATATCTGCTGTTTTCACTGGATGTGTCTTTAATTCTGTAGAAATCGGGCTGCCTTCCCTCCAGAAAGAGGGTTGCATTTGGACTGGAGATGCAGAACAGTTTGAGTGAGACAGCTCATTTGCTCACTCTCAAAATACAGAATTAATGATCTTGCCCTCAAACAGTATGATTCAAACCCTTTCAGAACCCTCTCGGCAGCAGCATGGCTCTGTTCTTCTAATTGGAAGGCTTTTAGGCTAATAGGGCTAATAATTTGAGAGCTACAATGCAGCAGGGCCTTTTGATTAAAATAACATGCAAGAGGTTGGGATATGAGTATGTCCTAGAGATAGTTGATTGTAGCCAATGAATAGGTCTCTTAATGGGAACAGCATATCTGCCCACTCCAACCTTTTGTGCATTACAGAAGAGTGCTTTGAACTTATTACCCACGTGGGCTCATCCAGCTCTTGAAAGGGAAATGATTAAGCAACTAATAAGGAAGATGAAGCCTCGTGTATGCTGTTGATAACCTCAAAGACCTCACAGGTTACCTAGATGTATTTCAGAGCAGGCTTTTACAGTATTCCTTGTTTTGTTCTTCTTGCTTCCAGCCCAGTCAAAGCATACACACACAAAAATAGCGTTTTCTGAGTACAGCTCTGCAACTTCAACTTAGACCGTGAAAGCCAAGCTGGGTTCTTTCTGGCTCATCCATTGCCATGTACAAAGGTTCTGCAGTCAGATGTGGGTTAACTAATTAAAATGCACAAAGCCAAAACAGAATCCACTCCAGTCTCTGCACCCTCTGTCTCTGCCTGGCAGCAGTAAACAATTATGTAGTAAAAAGCTTATCATCTTAAGTACAATGATGGGATCAAAGGGTTGGCAGACATCTAGTCTGAACCTTGCAGAGATGCAGGATGTGTTTTTTTGTAAACCATCCCAGATAATGCTTGTCTAGCCTCTTCTTGAAAATCTCTGGTGAAAGAGATGCTATGGCTTTTCCTGCAGTTTGTTCCATTGTCTTAGGGCTCTCCCAGTTAAGAAAGTTTTCCTGAGATCTCCTTTGAAGCTTTAAACTCATTACTTCATGTCCTGCTTTGTGTAGCAAGGGAGAACAGTGTTTTTCTCTACCTTTGTTTCCCTCCTTAATCTCCATTTTTTCCCTAGGCTAAATGGACCTAATTCTGTTAACCTCTCTTAATACAGTTCTCATTCCAGCATCTATTGTCTTTGTTCATCTCTGGATCTTCTCCAGTTTTTCTACGTCTTTCTTAAAATGCACTGCTCAGAAGTAAACACCATATTCCTGTTGGGGCCTACCTGGCACTAAGTAGAGGAATGCGATCATCTTTCATGTCTTGCATACAGTTTTTCTGTTACTGCAAACCCAAATTATATTTGCTTTTCTTCTGACTACATCACGTAGCTGACTTAGGCTGACTGGTGATCTTTCAAAACCCCCCCGGATTCTTTTCAATGGTGCTACTTCCTAGCTACTTATTCCCATGTTTTGGATTTGTTCATTTGTGGTTTTTTCCCTTCCCTGTTCACAGCACCTTAAACTTATCCTAGTTGAATTTGACTTTGTTGTCCATAGCCCAGTTCTCCAGTTCCTTAAAATCCCATATGAATTTTAATCCTATTGTGTTCTTAACTCCTCCTAGCTGTGTCTCGCCTGCAGATTTAACCAGCAAACTCTCTAATCCTGCATTCAAATTGTTAAGTAGGAACAGTTTGTTAATAAAACTGTGGACACAAATAAGTTAGGTGTACACA